AGAGAGAGAGAGAGAGAGAGAGAGAGAGAGAGAGAGATTAATATAAATAAGAGTAGAGATTATTATAGTAGCATTGATGTATTATTGTCATTTAAGAAAAGAAAATAAATAATATGAAATGATTGAATGTAAATTAATTCAATTGATTGGTTTATATTAAAACTAGTCAGAAAACTACCTGAAGATCCGTTCCCTAATGAGTCTACATGATGATACAAACACGCAGTTATTTAAAAAATCAATTCTTTAGTTGTGAATGGCTAACTATTATGCTTATGCTCAAAGCTATTATGCAGTTTTTGACAAAGTGCCAGTTATCAGCTGTGGCTTGTGAATAGTGACTTGACTGGCACAGTATGCTGTAGAGTAATGTGAGCACTAGCGCCACGGTAACTATCTTGGAATTTTTCAACCCACAACAAATTAGTTATAATACATGGTAATAAAAGTAGTATATTAACAGTGTTGGGAATGTTGTTAATAATTGTACTTAGGCAATTTTATTTTATTTGAATTTGACACGAAGTATTCAATTTATGACAAATATCTTTTAACGCTTCTCAGTACGTTCAAATATCTGAAAAAATTGCATATCGATAATAAAAAATTAAAACAAGCCATTTAAGTACTAACGGATATTAGCATTTATGGACTTTCATCAACTATTTTTTATATTAATCTCATACGGCCATATTATATCATGCGAATTAATAAATATAGTTGGATTCAATTAAAAATAAATAAAATAAAAAGAAGACAACCATTATGCGGTAATTATTAAAATAGTAAAAGTAAAATAAATATATCGGATCTGGATAAAAAACAGACCGAATATCGCATAAATTTTCAATCTGTCATTTGAAAATAGTGTAATTACCTATGTTTAAATATAAATTTAAAATTAATTGAGAATAACTGCATGTGTAAATACAATATAAAATTTCTATGGTAAAATAAATAACGATGTATATAATGCACTGTAGATACAGTACAATTTCCATACAGACAACTATACCATTCCGTTCTATCTTTATATAACAATTCTATGTTTAATATGTACTTACACTAAAGAATATTATAAGTAACTTATAATAAGTAAAATTCAAATTACATAATATTTATTTTATTCAATTATTTCAATCAATAAATTACGTTGTATGCAAAAACTGTTTCAATTAAGTATTAATTATTTAATAAAAAAATATAATAACAATCAATATTATATATAAATTAAGTTTATTTTTAAAAAGTCTCTCTAATATCAAAATATCAAATAACTTAGGAAATAAAAACAGAAATTACATACACGTACGCACGCACAGACAGGCACAAGAAAATATTCATGACGCAATTGTAACATAAAGCAACTGTGTTAATCAATTTATAATAAATGAAATACATATTTCATTAATATTATATGTTTATATATATATATATATATATATATATATATATAAGTCTTCAAAAAATTGGTAATAGTATTCTCATTACATAATCATATAATTTAAATTTAACAATTAGATATAGATATTAAATAATTTTATTAAAAATAAGGTTATAAAGATTATATTAAATATATAATAAAATATGTAATAAAATTGAGAGAAATGTTCGATAAACAACTACATTATATTTGTTAAAAATAAATAATAACAATTGCAATTTACATTTATTTACATAAATGATACACATTCTATAAAGCACAAATTTCTTTAAAAGAAAATTCATCTTTACCGAATGTTTGAGTTGTTGCTGAGCTTGAATTTTTGCATATGAAATGTGATTTAATGTTAAATTGATCAAATTAACGAAATTAATTAAGTAATTATATTTGAACATTTTCTTAAATCTAATTAATATTTTTTAGCGATTAGGATTCGTTCATAAAATAAAATATCATATTTATAAAATATTTATATGATAAAATAAAAATAAAATATGATAAAAAAAAACAAATTATGGGTACATGTTCTGTCAAGATTCATAGCAATAAATTTTTTTATTGCAATTATCACTTAGCAGTTTAATGTTTTCAACAGTATTTTAATTTTATGAATTAATTTTATATTAATTGTGAAAATTAAAAATTAATAAGATTAAATTTTTTTATAAAGTTATGAAAACATGAATCTTTTAAAATTGCAACATAATATTAATGACATAATTAATTAAATATATTTTACTTTATATTAAATAGTAATTTAAAACTTTATGCATAATTTGCACTTTCCATTTCAATTATTACAAAAGTAAAGATAATTTGTTACTAATATAATAATTTACCATAGAAATCAATCACCAATAATTTATTATATAAAAATAAAATTAAAAATAAAATAGAAAAATTAGAAAATATAAAATGTAAAAATTTAGTCCAGGCTTAGTTGTAAATTATCATTGCTTGAATAATGTATTTTATATATTGAAATTCTTCGTATTCAATATAAATGAATAAAAGTAAATATATAAAAAAATGTTATAAATTTAATTATCTTACATGATTGAAATAAATGTCTGTTAAAACTCTTAATTAGATCATATATCTGAATTCTAGATTTCAAAGGACTTTTAGTCATAAACGATCTAGGTTTTTGTTATTAAAATATTTAATAACTATTTCGTAATGTAATTTGAAGTCAAATCATTTGTAGATATATAAATCAACAACATAGAAGATTATTGAGAAAATTCTATAATAATTGTTTTATGAAAAAGTATTTAAGAAAATATTCATGACGCAATTGTAACATAAATTATAGAAATTATAGAATAATAATGAGCATAACATTTATATATACATAAATCAATTAATTTTTGTTAACTTTACTTGTTTTATACGTAATTTATTATTTTTAGTCGAAAATTGTCGGTAACCCGATGTAAAATTAACGTTGAATTTTCATTTTTATTCTTTGCTTTTATATAGAACCAGACATGAGTGGAGAAAAATAAAATATTGCATTACAAAGAACAAATATACAAAAAACTGATTAACATCTTGCAATATAATAATATTGATATATATACTAAGAGATATAATATTTCTATTAAGGTAAATTAGAAATTTTATTTTATTTTGTAAATCAAATGTTACCTTTTATTGTAAAACATAATATATTTTCATATTTATTCATATGCTGAAAAACTTTTACCATTACCGTATAAATGATTTTAATAAATAATATTCCTAACGTTCATATTCTTTCCTTAAATGCTAAGAAAACATTTTTTTCAGACAAATAAATTATAATTTATCAAATATGTCCCACTAAGGGATTTTCTTAAATATACAATTAATTATTCCGAGTCACCTATTTCTTTGAATTTGATTATTTTATTTATGTGATTTCTATAAGTTTTACATGGTAAAATAAATCAGATTTAATATGTTTATTTATTTTTTAGTAACTTAAATTTTGTATGTAAAACATCCTATGTAATAACTAGATTATTGAATAATAAATATTTTTGTTAGTATATATTAAGACGAAAGTAAAAATGATATGCTCGATTAATTTTTATTAAGTATTTGCATTTTTAATTAATCTATTTGTCAATTTATAATTATTACACATTCTAAAATTTAAGAAAATGTTATTTTCTTCAGCAATCAAGGATTATATTTTAAAATTGCTTTTTAACTTTATTTCATTATTTACTATCGAGTTATATTTAAAATTTATCCACTTATTATGATACAAATATTTAGTTTAAACTGTATTGGAATTATTCCAAACTATAAATCAATACATAAGAAATATTTCCCTCTTAACATCTTAATGGCGTTAAAAAATAAAACATAATTTTATAAAATGAATTTTAAAAATATGTACACTAATTTATTTTATTTATTTTTATTTTACTTGATAAAATATAGATAGTAATAATTTTTTTCATAAATACAAATGAATAATATTAAATTTTTTATGATTTAGAATAATTTAATTAATATCATCATGTAATCTTTTAATTTAATTTAAAGTAAACATTCTTTTTATATAAAAAATAATAAATTATCAATTCTAATAAATGACTTCATTGAATAACTGGAATTCTTTTTAATGTGTTATTAATATCGTAATGAAATATTTATTGATTGTTTATTTTTTAATACTTCAATGTAGACATTTATAAATTAGTTGAAATATAAAAAGTTAAATAATAACCTTTGAATATAAAATTAAGAGTAAATAGTTTTCTACGCCCACATACTTAATGGAAGGTTGATACACTACATTATACTTTTTTGTTTTTTGTTTTTGTAAATAGGCAAATATTTTTAAATAATTGATTCAATTTGTTGGCCTGTAATTTCTCATTAAAATTTCATATTAAATTTTATTAAAATAAATAATATTAAAATATATAAGAACAATAATACAAA